CCCACAGTGAGCAGTCCACCCTCAGCACAGAAAGGGGAACAGGGGGCAGTCGTAGCCTCAGATATAGCTGGGGGCACTGAGTAGGGCAGGTAAGCGTGGGCGACTCTGGCTTGAGTCTGAGGGACAGAGATTGCCCTGCCCTTTGCTGTATGTGACCCCATTCGTTTGCCCTCACACCATCTGTGTCTAGATGGAGTGACATACTGATTTTCCATTATAAATACCTGTTCACGAGGTTTTTTTTTGTAAGCAGCCAAGCTTACAGGTAAAGCCTGAATTGGGGACCGCCTCCCATCAGCTCCCTCGATGGAGGTGATCATTCCCTGGCTGTGGCCAGGACTGACCATCCCATGGGAGCATGAGTGTCACCAGCTGGCAGAGGTGACATACTTGTCTCCATGATCCAAACCAGACACCTGAGAGTGGATAGCTCCTAGTGTCACTTTGTGGCACCCTCAGGAAGTGGGTGGGGCTGGTGGCTGACGCTCCCTGGAAATAGTGGGTGCTGGAATTGCTCCACGTGCTTCTCCCATTCTCCCCTCAGGGTGACTTGAGGTGACAGTGCTAGGGCATTTGCAGCTGTCATGTGGATTGTGAGCAGAGAGCGATGTGGAAAGCAGGGAAGAAGGGAGAGGAGAGGACTGGGCAGGGCTCCCTGCACTTTGGAGAGGGGGTTGAACAGTGCCCCCAGCTTTATCTGAGACTGTTGACTGCCCCCTGTTCTCCTGTTGAGGGTGGACTGCCCACTGTGGGGGACCCTGACGGAGGAGAGGGTGCTGGAACAGTCTCCACAGAGCTACACTCAGCGTGAACCTCAGCTCCCACAGTCCTGACTCCAGGCAGGTACTTGGAAGGTCAGCAGCGCCTTCCTGATCCTGCTTGCCTCCCTCATGGCCCCCTGGGTTTGGAGACCTGTGTGCAGTCTGGAAACTGCTCCATGGAGCTCACTGGCCTCTTCTCACCTCCTGGCATGGCTGAATCCCAGATAGCTGAGAAGAGATTGGGGAGAGTCTCTGCTTTGTTTATATTAGACTGATACACACACAGGGACATGCAACGGGGCTGTGTGTTCAGCTCAGAGAATTTGCACACACAGCACCTCAGAGCAAAATCCAGAATGGAACTGTCCCCAGCCCCTAGCACCCCATTTCTGGGGTCTCTGAAGGGCACTCCTGCCCATTGGCCTGCGCTCTTGGTGGAGAGTCCATGGGCCATGCACTATGGGGAAGGGAAGAGCCAGATAAGGAACGTCTTTCGGCAAGGATGGGGCTCCGTAAGAGGAGGCCAATGCCCCACCCCCACGCAGGCCCCCAGCACTGTGCCAGCCCTGGTCACCACTGATTTGAGCACCCCACAGCCCAGGTAATAGGAAAGAAACCACGCAGCTCCATTGCAGAGGTGGGCGCCCAGCCCAGGACGGTGTGAGTGAATACAGGTCACAGCACCCGCTGCTGGTTTCTCACAGTGGCTCTGCTCTGTAAAGTCCCATAGATGCTGATGCGCCACCACCAGGTTAGAGTCCTGGGAGCCTCTGATCAAGTGACCAGGTGTGACCTGGTTTTATGTGTCTTTCTGGTTAAGAGCACAAGCCAACATCCAACCCAACCATTAGAGTACAACCCCTCAGGTCAAACCAAGCTCATCAGATGTGTGATCCCTCCCCTGCCCTTCCTTTTCCTCCTCTCCCTCCTGTCTCTTCCCCTCCCCTTCCTGGGTGCAGGAATTGGGTCTAGGGTGTGTGGAGGGTGGGGGGAATCAAATCCAGCAGCGATCAGGCTATAGCTCTGATCTGAGGGGGCTAGAGCCTGTGGCTACAGGAACCCAACCTGATGCACCACGCCTCCTGCCACACCCCTATCCCCCTGACTTGGCAGTTAAACAAATCACCAACAAAACCATGTGCCACTGAGCCTCCCTCTGGAAGGATACTTATTTATGGTGTGAAGGTATGTCCTGGCCTTCTGCTGGCTCTGGCTGCACAGTGGACAGACACTTTCCTGTTCCGTGCCTGTCTGCAGTGACCAGGAGGTGTCACATGCAAGTAGCAAATTGCTGGGGGTCAAATTTGAGGAAGTGTACAATGCCTTGACACAGCTCTGGGGGCGTTGATTGATAGGAAACACTCTTCTCCTTCTTTATATTTTCATCTGCTTTCTGAATTGGTACAACACCATTTAATGTTATAAACCATGGAGACACTTTAACAAATTTGTTTAACAAATTGTAAATGAATACAGTTTCTAAGTGGGAACTCTCAGGGGTGCCAACAGCTAGCAGGAAGAACAAGTGGATGTGCCGAGTGAGAGAAGAAGGGCTGCTGGCGAGGTGGATTTGGGTGTGGAAGTAGGACACAGCCCTCTGCACAGTGTCTTCAGAGAGGGAGCAGGCTCAATGCCAACCCTAGCACAGAGAGTGAGGCGTGCCTGGGTGGGACTCGGGGACCTGCGTGGTACCAGGGTTGGAATTGGAGTCAGCCATGAGCAAGGCAAGTACCTTACCCTATCCTATCTCTCCAACCCAGACACTTTAAAACAACAGCAACAACACACACACACACACACACACACACACAACTTTCAATCCAGAAGCCTGACATAATTCATCAGCACAAGTGAGGCCCTGAGTGTCCCCAGGGGTCTCTGTCAACCTCCCTTCTATAAACTCAGCCATAGATGGACACAGAAAGGAAGCCAGAGGTACCAGCAGGTGACTGCTCTGCTAGATAATCAGGTGCTTTCGGGCTCCAGCAGGTTGTGACAGATGTGTCTGCTTTGATCAAAGATTTTAGAGCAGAAAATCAGCCTCAAGGTCCATAGGAAATGCTCAGAAGTCCCGGAAGTGAGGGGTGGGATGTATTACTGAGATGGCAAAGAATGGGAGCGAGTGGGAGTGCCAAAGTGTCAACACAGCTCTCAGTAGTTGACTTATAGGAAACACTCTTCTTCTTTATATGTTATCTGCTTTCTGAATTGGTACAGTACCAACATTTAGTGTTATAAACCAAGGAGAAACTTTATGAAAGGAAAACAGTTTCTTAAAGCTTGCTATCTCAAAACTGGCAGGACCTACCAAACTTTTTAGAGGCTTAAGAATCTTACCACATGTTAGCTTAGGAGAGTCTCTGCTTGATTTTCTCCACCAAAGGGCAATAAATCACTGTAGGTTACACCATACTGTGAGTCACATGTTCCTCAGAAGCTAGTTCCTTGGGCAGTTCCCAGCTTCTACACTTAAGCTGTTTCCCACCTGACATAGGCTGTAGACCACAGGTCAAGTTCACCTCATGCTCTGCTGATGTCTCTGCTAACTTAGAGAAACAATCCCTTCAGAGTCTATCTTAACAGCGCCTTACCTGCATGCAACCCCTACCGAAGACACCACAGAGCCACCACAGAGCAGAGTGATGGGGCACATCTGTCTCACAGCTTCTCACAGCTGAGGATGGCCAGGATGGTCAGGAGAAATTCCCAAGGTTGGGCACACGAGCCCAGAGGAACCTAGAAAGGGAAGGTCAAGCCCCATTCTCACAGAAAGCCTGTGGCCACATCCATACTGCACAGACCTCGGGGCTTAGACCTGGCAGTTGGTGTGTAGACAGGTCAGATTCCTGTGGGAACTGCTCTGGGAATTGGCTAGAGACACAGGCAGAGGCCAATGTTGCTCAAGAGAAGGAGAATGGGGGTTTCCAGTAGGGGGTGACACTCAGACTGTGAGAGACACAAGCACTTTGTGAAGAGCCAGGAGGAAACTACCAGCCAGGAAGAGACAAGTCATAGAGGCTTCCAGGGGACCCAGAGGGTGGTGCCTCAGGCAGCATCCCACGGAAGACAGGCAATCCCAGGTAAGACAGCCAAGGCCAGGCCCCGTGCTTGAAGTCACAGGACCTTCTCACTGGGACAGGTGATGGAGTTTCCCAAGCTGTGACTCTTCTCCCTCTGTTGAGAGACAGGCCTCATGTTGAACTGGAAGCAGAATCAAAAGCAAACAGAGTAATGTCTCATACATGCCAGTACACATGTGTGCCAGTCTCATACATGCCAGCACATGTGTGTGCAGGCCAGCTCCGGCTGGTTGGGGGCATGCCCCTGGAAAGCCTCCAGGCTCCTGGGAACCCTCTACACCACCCTGTTCCTTTGAGTTCAGCCCTGGGCTTCCTATTTTCCTCTTCACTTTTCTGATGATGATGAATACAGGAGGGGTGAGCAGGAAAAGGGGCTTGTCCCACAGTTTCCACCCGGCGAGGGGCGGTGGTCATGGAGGAAAGTTCACCCAGAGACTGTGATTTGAAGACCCCTTCCCTCTGCTGCAGGGTGAGCAGTATCCCTGCTGGCCACCACCAGTCTTGGTGTCCCCTCTGCAGGGGAAGGCCATACCTATGATATCTAGTAGCAAAGGTTAAGCTTAGGTTTATGGCTTCCAAGCAAGTCAGCTGTCAAGTGGTGTGTCCTGGGCACAGAGGGCAGGTTCTGATGAAAGAAATCTTATTTATGTATTGTGCTTTTATTTTATTGGATGGAGGAAGTCACTTAGAAGTGCCAGTTAACTCTTTCGCACCTCTGGCTGGAGGAGGATGCCTTTGTTGTGCCTTTCCCTGGAAAGGCGAAGTCCCAAGGCCATACCTACAATATCTAGAAGCAAAGGTTAAGCTTAGGTTTATGACTTTGAGCAAGTCAGCTGTCAAGTGGTGTGTCCTGGGCACAGAGGGCAGGTTCTGATGAAAGAAATCTTATCTCTATCGTGCTTTTATTTTATTGGACGAAGAAAGTCACTTAGAAGCGGCAGTTAACTCTTCCTCGCCTCCTGCTGGAGGAGGATGCCTTTGTTGTGCCTTTCCCTGGAAAGGCGAAGTCCAAGGGCACCACATCTCCCCAGAAAAGCTCCCAAACCACCCCTTTACCCAGCAGTCTCTGGAAAGTGTTCTCTGGGGCACATAGTGGGCACAGAAGCCGGGGTGTGGGGGAGGGCGAAGGGAAAACCAGACTATTCCCTGCCACCCACAGAGAAGGCTCCGCCTTGTGCATTGTCAGGACCAGTCTCGGACAGCCAGCCCACCCCTCCCTGGATCACCATCACTCGACACAAGCGACGAGGGGCCCCGGACCTGCCAGCTGAGCTGGAAGACAGGCCTGGGCCTAGGAGCCTGAAGTGTGAAGCAGGAAAGCAAGTCAAGGTGTGTGAGAGCCCCTTGCTCCATAAACCCTTCCCGTCTCTAGGCACGGGACAGCTGGAGTGTGTGCTGGGCCCCCTCGGGTGACCACCTGGCTCTCCTGGCCCCTTCCGCTTGCAGTGTTGGAGAACACCTTTGCATGTGGGGGCCACCAGGGAGTCAGAGGAGTGGGGGGCACTTGCAAGAGAGGCAGCTCAGCTCAGCTCCTGGGGAAGTAGAGCAGGGTTAGAGTCTCTTCCGGTCCCTCTGCAGGGGGCCCTGGCAAGGGCTCCACCCTGGAGTTGGTGGCTCTGTTGTCCTGCTTTCATGGCCCTGCTGACTGCCTGCAGGGCCCTGGGTCCTGTCTCGGGCTGGAAGGCTGGAACTCATGGCTCATTTTGCACTCTGAATAGAAAAGCCCCCTTAGCAGCAGGCTAAGACTCACAGCCCTCATTTTCTTCCTCCTGGCGCCGCAGGAAGTGCCAAGCATGCTCAGCCCACAGTGAGGCAGGATGAAGCGGAGCCCACAGTCAGAACTGCTCCTTTTCATTCTAGCCAGGACTTACGGTGTCTCTGCCTGAAACTCACCAGACTCGGTGGGGTTAGAAAGCAGTTACTAGCTGGTGACCCCTTTGGAGATGTCCCGCATGCATCATACTGAGTCTTAGAAAAATCTCAAAATGGTTTCCAAACACAATTCATGTTAATGGTGCTCTGGAAATCTGCCCTCCAGTTCTGGGACTGGAGGGATGGAAATTGTGGCCCAGAGGAGGGCCACACTCAGCATGTGTGGCGTCAGTGGGTACACGCTCCAGAGCACCGTCCTCTCTGATCTCACAGGAACCCGTGAAGCAAGCTGACTTTGTCCGCAGCAAGTCCTTCCTGATCACCCCTGCTAAGCCCACGGGGGACCAGGACCGAGGCCAGGGGACAAAGATCCGCCTCCAGGAGGGGCTGCAAAGAGGAATCTCATTGTCGCATCAGAACTTGGGTATGGCATCGTGAATGTGGGGCAGAGTACCAGCCCAGGGTGTGTCCTGTGGGTTTGCTTTTGTTTTGTCTTCCTGAACTCCTTGACATTGATTTTTTAAAGTTTCTATTAAGATATATTTATGATAAAAATTAAGTCATCTGAAGTGATCACGGGCTGGAGTGATAGCACAGCGGGTAGGGATTTGCCTTGCAAGCAGCCAACATGGCTGACCCGAGTTCAATTCCTCTGTCCCTCTTGGAGAGCCCGGCAAGCTACTGAGGGTATCTTGCCTGCACGGCAAAGCCTGGCAAGCTCCCCATGACATATTCGATATGCCAAACACAGTAACAATTGTCACAGTGGAGACGTTACTGGGCCCGCTCGAGCAAATCGATGAACAACGGGAGGACAGTGACAGTGACAGTGAAGTGATCATATATTTATTATGAGTGTAAATTTGTGCAACCATCCCTACACTTGCCTTACAACATTCCCAACACCCTAAAAAAATATTCTGCCTAATTTAACAGTCACTTACCTTTCCCGCCTCAAACTTTATTCAACTACTAATCTATTTTCTATGTTTGCGTGCACGTGCACGTGCACGTGTGTGTGTGTGTGTGTGTGTGTGTGTGTGTGTGTGTGTGTGTGCGCCTTTTTTGGACATTTCTTATAAATGGAATCACATACGTGTTCCTTTCTATTTCACATCTTTCTCTGAGCAGCGCAAAGTCTTTGAATTCATCTCATTCTGTGTATTTAAGTTCTTGCTTAGTATTTTTAATCTATGTTTTTAACTGTGGCCACATTCAGTTGGCCTGTGATGTCCTCCCCAGAGCACCCATGTCACATTCTGGACATTTTTCTCCTCTCCTTGCATCCATGGAACTGTTTGATGCTGCTCGTCAGTTTCTTTCTGCAGAAATTATTCTATGCCTAAGCCTTCTCCACATGATTCTACGATAACGGAATTCAGGTTTGAGGTCATGGTTAAGACCTTGGTGTATTTTTAAAGGCATGTAAGAGCTTAAGGGAAAATGCCAATATGTTTCTCCTCTTTCTGTTTGTTTTGTCTTCTCGCCATCAGCTCAGGCTGCCGTGATGTCAGAGAAAGAATTGCATCAGCTGAAGAGAGCCAGTTACACCAGCACAGATCAGCCTTCCTGGATGGAACTTGCCAGAAAGAAATCTCAGGCTTGGAGTGACATGCCCCAAATTATAAAATAGTTTTGACAGCTGTGCTGATAAAGGACATTCACTGCATTGATGGTCACTTATTAAAAAACTGCCTGTAAATCAAGGCAAACAATGAAGAAACTTAACATCGGTTTTATCATCAAGGTATAGGAGAGCCAGCTGGAGGAAGCAGACAGAACCAGGAAAACAAGGACAGACACACAGCCTCCATACTGGACAAGGGTGCCCCCCCCTCCCCAAACAAGACCATCATTGAAAAGAGCCAGGAACAAAATCCCCATCAGTGTCTTTTAGAATTTTGACCAAGGAGCCTCGGAAGCAGGTGGAAGGTGCCTCCTACAGGTGGTAGCTGTGAAAGCACAAGAGAAGTTGTTCCCAGTGACTGCGTCCGAGCTTCCTCTGCAGAGCAACTTGTCTTGGTCATTGTCTCACCCATGGAGCCTGTCATCTGCTTTCACGTCTACTGCGAGGCGCAACATTCAGGGTTCAGCAGGCACGTGTGTCAAGAGCAGTGAAGAAGCAACCATCTTCTCCTGAACATGCCACTCCAGGGAGGCATGGAAGGCCACAGCAGCGTTTATCAATTCAGAGACTGTGTCTCCAAATAATTTTTAAAATTTTCCACTAGGCATATGTGTCTCTACCTATTGCACAATGCACTGCCTGTTCAATAAAGGGTTTCAAACATGTCACGTTTGCTGTTTCTGCTCGCGTTCAGACAAGATCCCCAATGCTGAGTTCGCGTGGGATGAAGTTTGGAGTCTCACTCATGGATTGAAGTTCCTCCTAAGTTCCATTGCAGTGAAATTTGGCTTTCTTTGAATTTTTTTCCAATTTAGAGTGACATCCTAAAAAAATTTAAGATTTCCTTGAAATGTACAGTTATTTTAACATCTAATTAATTTAACTTGCAAGTTAAAAATGAAAAGTAGACTATCAGTGAGTTAGCCAGGATGACCTGTGAGTACAAAATGTGAAGAACCCAGCAGAGAAAGAATATATTAAAGATTCCAGAATTGCATATAATATCTCTATTTTTGAAATTCCAATTTGTCCCTTCACACAGTCATCTCCATGCAAATAGGTATGTTGAGATACTTAGATGTGAAGATCAGTCAGGCCTTGGGCCAGGGCAATAGTACAGTGTGTAGGACCTTGCATGCAGCTGATCTGGGTTCAATCACGGCATCCCATATGATGCCTGAGTAAGCCAGAAGTGATTCCTGAGCGAAGAGCCAGGAGTAACCCCCGAACCCTGGAGTGGTATAAAATAAAAACACAAAACACAAAAAACTAAAGATGAGTTAGGCCTCATATATTTTGATTTTAATTTTATATATCCTAAGTTCTGGTGCTTTTATTTTATTTTCCATTTTCAGAATGGAAATATTTTTCTAGCTGTTAGAACTACACAACTAAAGGGTCTACTTTTGGTGAAATAATCATGGGCTAGTTTCTTCTCCCCCCAATCAAACTGATATGTTAATTTCAATCTCTTAGAGAATGTCAATGCTGAACTTTATGGAAAATGTGCTCAAAGCAAATGCTATACTAGCCTTGTTCTGAAAGTTTAGATATGAACATCTTTGTTTTTGTCTAGAGGCCACACCCAGTGATCCTCAGAGCTTACCCGAGGCTCTGTGCTCAGGGATCACTCTTGGTGATGCTCAAAGGACCATATGTCATGCTGGGGATGACACTGGGTCACTTGCATACAAGGCAAGGGTATGCAACCCCTGTAGTATCTTTCTGGCTCATGTGCATTAATATTTTTAACTAGAACATACAACTATTTTATCTATTATTACCAGTAACATAATGCTTTTCTCTTGGCAGAAAATCCCTGAAGAACAATTTTAAGGGAGATTTAACTGAAAAATGAAATGTATTTGGTTCCATTTTGTTCAAGAAGAGGTTGACATTCTGTGTGTTCTCAGAAGCTGGCTTAGTTCTCTCTAGAACTTGGTAAATTAGGACGGTGCTGGCTAGTGCAAAAATCCACAGAGGAAGAGGAGCCAGAAGCTGGGAATTGCTGAGGGGAGTTGTAACCTCTGGCATACAGAAAGCATGAGACAGTGGACACCGTTTGGAAATGCTATTGAAAGTCTGGAGCAGCACTGGAAATGGCAACATCCTGGAACTGCTTGCTTGCTTTCTCAGGACAGGTGACAGGTTGATCCATAAGGGCTTGCAGTCCCTCCTAGCAGCCATACTCAGCCAGGTGCTTGCATGGATTTTTTTTTTTTACCAAGACTGTATTTTATTAAAGCACCATGAATGACAAAGTTACTCATAGTTGGGTTTTTGACATACAATGTTCCATCACCAGTCCCAGCACCAGTGTCAACTTCCCTCCACCAGTCTCTGGGTTCCTGCTCCTACCCAGCCCCGCCCTCAGTCTGCCATCTTCAGTTTGGTTGTTAAAGTTTGTGTCTCACAGTCTCAGTGTTGTGGACCCTGTGGCTTGGGTATTTGGCTCCTTAACGCTCTCCACCATTCTTCAGAGCTGGATATTCCACTTCACTTTGCAGGTGGGGATACTGAGGCTCATCATGGTGGGGATCTCCTGCTCAAGATCTTAGAGCAGCTCACCAACTGTGAGGTGACCCTGGCCCATGCTGTAGACTAGAGTGTCCAGTGTGCCCAGCCCCAGGGGAGCAGTGGTGGCCTTGGGTGCCTAGGCAGCTTTCCAGCGAGTGCTGACTCATTCTTTTCTCCAAAAAAAGAGATAGGCCAAATAAGTCCAAGAACCTCTTTACACCCCCAAATTTAAGTGACATTTCCCCCCCCTTTTTTGTGTTTCGACATCCTGGTGTTGGTTGAGGTTACTCTCAGCTCGGTGCTCAGTGTTTGCTCCTTGTAGTAAATGAGGATGGACTGGGGGGTATTCTAGTTCAGGGGGTCGAACTCCCAAAGAGTGCTCAGGGGCCCCAGGGCCCTCCCTGATGCTCAGACAATAGTCCCATCAGGTCAGTGCTAGCCTCCAAGTGAGACACTGGTTCCAGGAACGTGAGGCTGGTTCAGTGTCGGGCCCGGTAGTGTGCTGCTGGGGGCCCTAGGGCTATCCCCAGTCGTTGTTCTAGGGTCACACTGGAGCCCTGTTGTACTCTGCATGTGCCCCTGACTTCAGAGCTGTCTCCCTTTCCTTTGATTTTTATTGTTGTGTACCCCTATGTTTCCTAGTCATTTGTTACCTAGCTACAACTACTGCCTCCCACATTTCTTTCCTGGGTCCTACAGGGGAAAGTCCCTACTTGTTTTAAAACACATTTTATTTGGGGTTGTTCTCGTCCAGGAGCTGGGTTTCATAGTCTCTGGATCTTGGCCATTGATGGGATTACATGGCGCCAAGGGACCAGTTAGTGGGTGTGACCCCTGCCTACTGGAATATGGAGGATCTGGGTGGAGGATGCTCAGCCCTGATCTGAGCAGGCTTGGAGATCTCAGCCCCGGGACATGCATGCCTTTGTTCCTCTGCCAGTACCTTCATGCGTGTGGAGAGTGGTCTCAGCATGTGGCTGGTGGTCTCCGCATGTGGATGGTGGCTGGTTCTGGAGGTCTTCGGCTGCCGGAGCCCTGGCTGGGTCGGGGAGGGAAACTCAACCCGCTCCCCTCCAAGGGGCCCCGGTGAGGACAGCCAGGTGCGGGGGCAGGAGATTGCACTGTTTTCTTCTGGGAGCTGCGGGTCCCGGGGCTGAGATCTCATTCTTACTTTGGACAAACTGGCAGGCTACTGAATGTAACCTGCCCACACGGTAAAGTCTGGCAAACTCCTCGTGGCGTACCCAATATGCCAAATACCAGTAACAATGATGGGTCTCTTTTTCCTAACCCTGAAAGAGCCTTGAATATGACACTTTTAAAAAAAATCTCAGGGCTAGGACGAAGGAGACGTTACTGGGGCCTGCTCGAGGCAATCGACGAATAACAGGATGGTTGTGATTGTGGTCATGATTTATTTGGGACTGAGAACATAGATAATAAGTACAGTAGGGAGAACTGTATTTAACACTTACCAAACTGCAGTAGCTCCTAGGTTATGTGGCAGACATTGGGGGTGAGGTAGGAAGGTTACGATAGGATAGAGGTACCCCAGAGACCTGTGTTTCTTCTGCAGAGTATGGAGTTTTTCTCTGGAAATTGATGTCCTGCCAAAGGTTGTATCTATAGAAGCACCTTCCCCAACACACACACACGCATACACATGCATGCACATGCACACCCTCTTCCCTTGAATGTCAGCCAGGTGGGCTGAAGGCAGAGATGCCTCTCCCAAGTACAGTGCCCTAACTTTGTAGGAAAGGTCAAGGGGAGGTCAGTCAAAGTGGAAGAAAGTTTTTATGGAGAATTCCAGAGAAAGAGAAAAGTGACTCAGAGAGAACAAGAGGAGGCAGGAGAAGCATCTCCACATGTGTGAAGAGAAGAGAGAACTGACTTATTCTGTGTCATTCCACATTGCATCACAAGCAGGAGGAAAGGTCAAGAGAAGCACAAAGGGAGGAACAGGTACTACTAGTGTCGTCCCACCTGACACAAGAGGCCCTGTCAAAACTGCGTTCCTGTGTCTGTCCCTTTACTTTCAGCACTCAGATCTTGTCCAGAGTGATCATTTCCAACTATCATTGTTATGGTGGTCCCTTCTCTAGTGTAACTGCCCTCCCCTCCCCCTTGTGGCAAGCCTCCAGTCCTCCTGGCCCTCATTTCTACTGTCCTTGGTTATTGGTCTCATACTTTGTTTTTATGTATCCCATGAATGAGTGCAGTCATTCTGTATCTGTCCCTCTCCCTCTGACTCATTTTACTCAGCATGATACTCTCCATGTCCATCCATTTGTAAGCAAATTTCCTGATTTAATTCTTCCTGGTGACTGAGTAATATTCCACTGTGTAGACGTACCACAGTTTCTTTATCTAGTCATCTGTTATTGGGTGCGCATGTCTTTATTTTTTTATTTTTTTAATTTAACTTTTTAAAAAATTTTTATTAGTGAGGCACCATGAGGTACAGTTGTAGACTTAAACATTTTTGTGCTTGGATTTCAATTATATAATGATCAAATACCCATCCCTCCATCGGTGCCCATTTCCCAACACCACGGAACCCAGTATCCCTCCCACATCCCATCCCCCCCATTTTACCCTGCCTCTGTGGCAGGGCATTCCCTTTTGATCTCTCTCTCTCCTATTGGGTGTTGTGGTTTGCAAAAGAGGCAATGGGTGGCAATCATGTTTGGTCTATAGTTTACTTTCAGCAGCGCATGTCTTTTTAGACTCTGGCTATTGAGAATAGAGCTGCAATGAACATAGAAGTACAGCTGTTTTTACTGCATTGTGTTTTGGTTCCCTATGATATATCCCCAGGAGTGGTACAGCTGAGTCATATGGAAGCACAATTTCTAGATTTTTTGAGGAATGCCCATATTATTTTACAGAGAAGCTGGGCCAGTCAGCATTCCCACCAACAATGAACTAGAGTCCCTTTCTCCCTGCATCCTTGCCGAATTTTTAATTTGGTTGTTTGTGTTTGTGATGTGTGCCAGTCTCTGTGGTGTGAGATGACATCTCATTGTTATTTTGATTTGCATCTCCCTGATGATTAGTGATGTAATACCCAAAGAGAGAGAGAGAGAGAGAGAGAGAGACAGACAGACAGACAGATAGACAGACAGACAAAGAGACAGAGAAAGAG